TGTACATGTATCCAGGTGCAGTTGATTGTAACAGATGTATTTGAGAGACTGTTTGTCTAAAAATGGAATTGAAACAACCGAATATTGAAATTAATCACTAATAACTGTAATATATGAAACTCAAAAATAATCTCTATGACTTAAAAAACTAATTGTGTTAAACCTGTTTCGATGCACACTAGAGCGATTTTGTGTAGAACGTCATGTCTGACAGGTAGACGGAGACTCTGCATCTCATTTGGTGCCCGTTGTTCAGTACCTGTATGGAGTGTCCAGTTGGGTTGAGAGGGAATCTGAAGGTCTCGTTAAAAGAAGGCTCTCTGTCATGTCGACAGACTCTGGTCTTCTTCTTGATGATCCTCTTCTGAGTGGCCACATTCACCACATACAACTTCACATAGAGGTCTGGATGCAAAATAGATAAATGATGTAGATATAAATAAGTGATTGAAGGTTAATTTAAAGCAGACATGCATACAGCAGATTTGCACAGATGCATGAACACAATTACTTCCAGACCTGGTAGGTGGTCCGGGCTTTTGAACTTGTAAGTGATGTTTCTGCATTGAAGGATCTCCAAGACCAGTTGGTCCCCTTCTGTCTTCACCTCCTTCTTGAGAGCAACCTTGATCTCCCCCATTACTTGTGTTTTACCACCTAACAGTGACATCAAAAGAAATGTAAGATCGGTTTTAGAATTAACTTTGGGATTTTTTCACTTAGAAAGCCCTCACTGAACCCTCTGTTTAGCAACTTCAGCTATATGCTTATAATCGCACAGAAAAGCGTGGACAGCTAGTGTCGCTGACGTGTATTTAAATTATTCAGCCATTATGCATCGCTACACCTGTGCTCGCAGCAGAACGGAACCAGGTCAGGGAACATCTCTTCAGTTTCACACGAGTCTTATCGATTGTTAGATGTCTCTAGAGATAATTAAGTTCAAGAGTTTTTTCCGGGACGAGCTGTTCTAAATGTGATAAATAAGTCGTCCGGCACCATGGAAATGACCTCCTGACCCGCTTCTGTAACAGCTGCCTGGCTGCAGCCTAAGATGACCTTGGCTTCTTTGTTACAAATTGAAACTAGAGATGGAAGGGAGGCATCATGACACCTGAGCTACGTGGAATGTAGATATAGTTATGACGGCAGGTGGGATAGTGTGACATCCGCTTCTCCTCCACCGTCCTAAGCCATGCATTGAGTTATTATTATGGGTTAAGATTGTTTATTGTACTTTACTGAGCATTTGACTTCAAAATTCAATAATGTCATTAGTGGACTAGAGGGTAATGATTGGCTGGGTACAAAAAAATCTTGATAAAAACAAGTGTAATTATACAAAATCCCCAACAGAGGGAGACATATAACCAAGAAAGAAAACATTTGAAATCAACAACAGTGTTGGAGCTTGCCTTCATTTTCTGCAGTCCCCAGTTGGTTTTTGTCGGTGCCGTTGGGAATAGTCTTACCACTGTGAGTGGGGGGAGAAAAAAAAACAACAAATACATGAGCTCTGCATCAGACATTTCAACAACAATGAAGTGTATTGCTGGCTGCCTGTAACCATTTTTTTTTTGTTGGATGCACACTGCGCTAAAGATTAACGGTCTTACATTCGTGGCACTTGAAAAATGGCACTGTCCACTCCGGTGTCCGCCCCCTCTTCCACATCCAGACCTCCATAGGCGTCTCCAACAAGACTCGGGGCAGACAGCACCACTGACCCTGAGACATCACCGAGCCGGTGTCCTGGTCCTGTGGGTGGCAAGGCTGAGTGTGATGCTGAGAAAATATCTGTTTGTCTTTACAGGAAATTATTTGCATACTGCAAACAAACACACACACGCAACATCTTCACTGACTTTTGCCACGCTAGCATGCACGTCCAAGAGATGAAACACCTCCCAGCTATCACACACTGACAGAGACGCTGTCCGTCACACACAACTGTGACCGAGCATCCCCACAACAGCGTATGTCCTTGCATTGAGCCGTGCAGCGCGTAATAACCTCAGTTAATACAAAGCAAATCGCTTCACAAGAGCTAAATGAAGGTCGCCCGGTTTAATTCACAAATCAAAATGAACTTGGGGTAGGATGCTGTGGATGCTCGTTCATAGACTTAATTAATTATTCTTAGCTCCGTCTGGCGGATGTTGAGTTCAGCTCATACAGTATGAAAGAGTGAGAGGAATATTCTGAAGATTATGTCTGACGCACAATCTGTGCCTTTTAAATGTTTGAAACACAATCTGTTACTCGGATGCAATAGCTGGGAATTCTGTTTCTAGCCATGAAAGCATAATTATACCAACAACAAAAAATAACATCAAAATAAAGGAATTAATTCATAATGCACGCTCTCAAACATTCCCAGACTTGCATACATTAAAAAAAAAAAACAACAACATCAAATATCTTCATCAATTTGTAACTTCATAATTTACATATTTGGTTATTTGATGGACTTAATTTTGTTTAGTCTTTTGTTAGTTTTTACTTTTATGGCATCAAGTTAGGATCGATCATATTTATTCAGATATTTAGAGAGTACATTTTTCCTACGTTGCCTCACCTTCCCTTGACACTTCTGCTCCTCTCATGGTTAGCTGTACTCTCATTGGCCGGTGAGTGCAGAGTGAGTCTCTTGGTGTTTCTGTGTTTCCTGGTTTGACTGGGTCACTCTCACATTTGTGTCCCCTTTTGTTTTAGGCGGCAGGAATGGGAAAGGACCGGGAAGGGTGGGAGGACTATGTGCAACACCTGTGTGTGCCTGTGTGTGTGTGTGTTTTGTGACTTTTCTAGGGGTGCATTCATATTAAACACACATGCACATGTACAGCAATACTGCAGTACCACAAAGTACTCAGTGGCAAGGAAACAGTAGCCAGGGGATCTGCAACTGCATGCTCAGATTGCTAACTTGTCTCAGAACGGAACAACAACATTATTCCTCGTTTTGAGGATATAACACTGAGGATTACATATAAGCAATAATGGATATTATTTCATCTTGTTAATGTAGTAAGACATAAAACATGTGAGGGATTTGCCATCCCAACCTGGTTTCTAAACTGGGGATGGAGGTCTCCACACTAGGGTTTTGTAGAAACCATATGCTTGGGATTGGCACATGCACACTCCACGTAGAAACAGAGGGGTCTGGGTCTCTAGTTTTGGAGCTGATCACAAACATTTATTCATTAGTTTTGTTTAACTTAAAGTTTTCTGCTGTCACTGCAGCATGTCAACTTTCAGTGCTACTTATGATACCCAAACAGGCAGCAAATAGTAAACCATTAAAGACATTTTTACATTTAATCCACAGAATTTTCCAGCTTTTTAAATGTTTACAAAATGAACAAAATAAGAATTTTACATGTAGCTGAGTTATTTCCCTTTTTTTCCCTATGTCTTGCTTTTTTTTTTTTTGTGATTATATTCATAGGACTAACCTAACTTGGAGGAATCTGGAATTAGATTATTCATCGCTTTGTGCTCAGAGAAAAGTAAGATGAGGCGAGCAGAAGGCAAAGGTAAAAAGTTAAGGAGGTGAATGCACAGCAATTCAGGTTGTCGTCCAACAAAGTCTACAAAGCTTGCATGCAAAGGAAAGAAGGAGGCATGTCGCAGGAAGTGTGTTATGGGTAGGGGAAGGATTTACTTGGTTGCAGGCGGGATTGTTGCACGGCAGCCTCGGCAGCGGCAATGGCTATCCCAGCATCCTCTAGGTGGGCCTGAGTGACGCTGCTCTTGCTTTGGCTTCGGGAGGGGCCGTGGGAGCGCAGCTGCCCGTCCGAGGAAGACTTGGAGCTGCCCGGGCTGCTGTGTGACTTTTCCAAAGGCATCATTTGCATGTCTGGAGGATGATGAAATGAAGGTTTATAAATGCTGTAGAGAAAGCTGTGGATGAAAAATAATCCACACACCCTTAAGCGTGTTTAATATTCTCTGCTTCGTAGCCGTCCTGATTGTGCCATGCAGCAGTTGATAAGCACATGGAGTGTAATTACAGCTCGCACTTACAGTCAAGATATGATTATAGAAACCTGCCAAGGATAGTAATGTCAGTGTCATGGTCCAAATGGCTAGTCAAACAGAATAAACTGTTATATTGGAATTATGCAAACTGAGGACATGTTAAATATGTGTGTGTGTGGTGTTTTTGTTTGTTTGTTTGTTTACCTTTGGCTGGATCAGGGAAGATTCCATGGCTTCTACTCTTGATGACAGAGTTTTTAGGTGAATCGTGACTTCCGTCTCCTGGCCCCAGTGTTTGACCCCCTCCCATCCCATGCCCCTGTCCAGGCCCTGTCATGTGACCCTGCCCTGGGCCGAGTCCCAGACCTGATCCAGACCCTGGTGGGCCTTGGGCAGCGTGGTGGGCTCTGCTGTGTTCGATGCTTTCACTCTGCTCCTTCAGAGGCAGCCAGCGAGGGGTGTTGTCGAGCTGGGCGGTGTTGGACAAGTCAATCAGTACCTGAGAACACAAGTAATACAGACACATAGAGAAACGGTGAGAAGAAGAAAGCAAGTCCAACACTCGGGTACAATGGGTAGGAAAAAAAATGTCAGCGCTAGAAAGAAAAAGCAGAGGAGTTTATATTGGGGGGGAAATAAGCAGATTGTGTTCAGACAGTGTGTCTAGAGAACAACTGTATGCATGCGTATTCAATGCACATCGCATTTAGTACAAGGCAGATAGGACTGCTGACTATACAGATTTACAGGCATAAACTCAAGCTTGACTTCACTTTGTGAGACGGGAGAGATAAGGGTAACATTGTTAGGTTGCTTTAAGAAAAGCCGGTCCATCCGAAATAAAAAAAAATAAAACCTTTTGTGTGCGGTAAGTGCTAAATGCATTTGACATTTTCAGACATGGGATTCCAAAAGACACTCACTTCTCCAAGAAAGTCGTTGGAGGAGGATCTGTCATAGTCCCACACTGTCACCTCCAGCGTCTTTTTCTTCAACTAAGTAGAAAGAGGGATGAAGAGGAGAGAGGGTCACAGATTACGGAGAGGCTTTACAAGCATCTATGTGGATGGAAATGTGTGTGTGTGTTTGCGTGAGTGTGTGGGCAGAGGACGGGTGAAAGAAACCGGCTCAGACACGCTCAATGTGCATTGCGTAGGTTAATGCGAGCTAATTGAGAAGGTCATTTAATCAACGGGGGAAATAATGAGTTGCATTTGATGCGATCCAGGAAACGTACGTGCATAAATATGTGTGTAGAAACGCATAGTAACATGTGGGAAGACATGAAAACGTATACATAGCGCTATTTTTAAGGCGGAACATGGCGGCGGTATCACAAACAACACATTCTCCGAGCAAACACAGATGCCCGAGAATAAACACATGCAGCCGTGTACCCAGTGCACGGTGACAGATGAGCACAGGATCACCTAGCGCGCGTTCTATTACTGTTTTTGTGAAAATAACACACAGGCTGTTTTGTTTTTTGTTTTGCGAGAGCAGAAACGTTGGTTGTTAACTTGAGTCTTGGTCGAGCCGACAAGAGGTCGCGCAGGGATACTGAAAACAACCCTCAGGACAAGGCACGAGGATAGAGTCTTAGTAGTATCGAATAACAGTATAAGACATTGCCCAAAGTGTCTCACAGCAAAAACAATAACTGCACAAGCAAGGCTGTGTGAAGATTTGTGTGTGTTTGTGTGTGTGTCTCTGCACAGTACCTGCTCCAAATGAATGTTCTTGTAGATGACAGTCTGGTTCCATTCCGGGTTCATGGTCTTCTGGGCATACTTGGTCCTTCTCTTGTTATCAGCACTGACAATTCATGACATTCAGAATAATTGGTTGTCAGTGATACAGTTAAACATCTCTTTGCTGCTTGATCCCATGGCAAACACTCAGCAAACTGTGATATATACTCAGGAAATGGACTGAATAGATGCTTGTAAAATGGTCAATCTCCTGTTGTGGAAACAACCAGAAAGAAACTGAAATTTTTTTTTAGTTGTCTGTTCTGACGAAGATGCTTTTACACAATTAAACATTACTGGAGAGATAGAAGCTGAGGAGAGCTACAAAGTGAGATACATGGAGAGAAAAATGCAATGGCAGAAGTGTCCTTAAACACCGTGAATTAGAGCAGAACAACGAACGAACAACAAAGGCTACAACGAAAGGATGGAGAACCACTTTGGAGACATAGTTTTACAGAAAGAAAAACGTAACACCAACTAAAAGCGAAGATCAGCACCACACTACCTTGCATTCTGGACAACCATGACTTGGCTGAGGGAGTCCAGAAGAGGAAGAGGAGGGCAGATATCACAAACAAGAAAAGCAAAAACACAAAAAACAGTCAGAGAAGCCCAGAGAGCTCAAAGAAAAGGCAATAAAGGATAGAGAGCTGAGGCAATCAATATTCTCTGCAGGGTGTGTAACTGTTTTTGTGCCTAAACAATAGATGTGACGCGAGACCAAAAAAAAAACAACAAAAAAAAAAAAACACCACCACTCAACGATTACTGGCTCATAGGTGATTGAATAATACACTGTTTTGAACTGTTGTGGAGATACCGTGGCTGTGCACTCTACCGCTAATGCCAGACAAATGCATTTGGAAATACACTTCAAATGAAGCAGCAGAGGAGCAAAAGTGCTCACAAGGAGCTTTCATTGCTAACCTAAACAGCACGTAGGTAGAGAGGGTGTATAATCTCATAAACAGGCCTGATGGAGTCATTATCTAAGAACAGATATTGTTGCCGAGCAAGATAAAGGCCGTATCGATCTTCCTTGTGCTATTCACGGGCTCTTGGGAAGAGAGCGGAGCAGACGGGGATGAGAGGAGGATGTCTGAAGCATCGCAGACAATCCCAAAATACTCACTTCAGTCAAAAGTGTGAGAAAGAGAGTTTGGACTCATGTAAACTGTCTATCACAACATAATTTGGGCACATGTAGCAGCACGGGGGAAAGATCTCGTCTCGCAGCTTTGTGTAAAGTCTAAAAAAAAAAACACCCATTCTTTCATTCATCTGAATCAAATTGACTCATATCACAGAATGTATGAAAATGACTGCCTCATATCATCATGTCCCGTGTTATTCTCTCGTACAAACTCAAGTAGTTAGTCAGTGGCGTACAACACAGTCAATACAGAGTCAGAAAAAATAGGGGGAGAGGAAACAAGACGGACACGAAAGCAGAAAAGACAGACACAGACCGGACATCAGTGAACGCTCGAACACATTCAGAGCTCACCCTCGCCCGGGTAAAAGGTAGACCTTCACGAAAGGGTCGGAGTAGCCGTCGTTGTCCCGTGGGGCCAGGTTTCTAGCCTGCAGGACGTGGACGATCAGATTTCCGAGGTTTCTGTCGTAGTTGATCTGGAGCTGTGGGGGAAAAACAGTGTTGAGGAGGGTCCGTGAGAGAAAACAAACTACAAGGCTGGGTAGTGAAGCTAAAACAAATAATGTGTTCCTCTACCTGAATTTCTCCTGTGATGGGATGAGGCACTCTCATCACCTCTGCCGGCTAAAAAGGAAGGAAAAATAAAGGATGGTAATTAGTCAAACAAACACTTGCCCTGGCCCACGCACAAATAAAAGTTCTCAACACACTTCAGGAAAAAAAAAAGTTTCTAACACACTTCAGCTATAATAGGTTGCAGTATATATTGCCAGCATACGGATGAATGGGTTGTCCTTGCGGAGTAGATGCCAAGATTTCTCACTGGATCTATGAGCCGCAGGAGAGATTTGATTATCTGAGTGGTGTAATTTACTTGAAAAGTCCTCCAGTGAAGTTTGAGAAGGTTAATCAGTTACTTGAGGTACTTAGACATTAATGAAATAAATGCCTACTTCAGTTTAGACCATTTCCAAAGTGCAAATATAGTTTATTTACACTATTTCATTTCTTTTTTTTTTGCCAGACATGCATATATTTGCTTATAATGAAGCACTTTTATGCATATTTTGCCCTTTTCTTTTGCAAAGGACACCCATTCCCAGGTCATGAACTGTATCACACGGTTTCCTTGTTCCACTATAATTGGCAATTCATTCTCTCATGAACGGAGTCACACCGTTTGATCTTCAAATGTTAACCCCCGCTGCTGTTGTGTGATGTAACACTAATCAAATCCCAGCAGCTAAGGTGCATGATGGATCACACAAGGCTCCTCGGGCTGCGGCTTATAATGGATTCATAATATTATTCATTCAGACTGTATTTCCTATTTCACACGTATATCAATCTGACGCCAAAGTGCTCGCTCAAAGGGATTTGTTGCCTTTTTGTTGGGTTTCTCTCCTTCATATAATATTGTGAAGGGCTTGACCTTCCTACGTAGAGCGCCCCGAGGTGACGTATTTTGTGAAGTGGCACTACAAGCATACAACTGAATTGAATTGAATGTGTGACACATAAACCAGCTGTGCTCATTTTATATTCCCTCTTACAGCTATATTGGATCTCTTCTCTTCAGTTGTGAAGAGTGTGTGTCTAAGCTGAGCCAGCAGAAAGCAGGCAAACAAGTCAACTCTCACACCTTGTGTCGCTGTTTCTTGTTTATGGCAGGAGATGCAGGCTGGCCGGGGCTTGGCACCCCGCTGGAAGCTGCTGATCCAGCGCCCGAGTGGAGGAGGGCGGAGCGCTCCAATGCAGAGAGGACCCCCAGACCCCCAGGTCCAACAACTGCCAGACCAGGAGCCTGCTGCTGGGACACCTTCTGCAGTTCCGCGGCCAGCTGCTTAGGATCGACACCAGGAGAGCGCTGCCCACCTACTGAGACAAATGTGCAAAGTAATGCACGTTGTACTATGCGACGTAGGTACACAGATACATGCATGCATGCAGACATATCAGCAAAACCTTGTACATACCAGCCTTAAGCTGGACATGGTGCTCCAGGGCTTGTGGGTGCTCAGGGTCAGACAGCATATTAAGGTCGCTGTTTGGATCCATATAGGAAATTCATAATGGAACAACAACCAGTGTATCTTAGCAGTAATTAGTCACAGAGTGATATTCGGCAGATGAAGGGAACGTGGAATGAATAGAAGGGAAAAGAAGGGAGGAGAGAAGGTGTTCATGGGTGCAGAGTTACCATATTGCGACTAAACATGGAGGAGCTTCAGTGGGACAGAGGGATAAATGATGACAGATGTTACTCACAGTCTCACGCAGAGCTCCGCCTCTGCACATGGCTGGCCCATGATGCACTGCACTTCTTCATAAGTCTTTCCCATTAGAGGGACCCCGTTCCACTCCAACACCTGCATTCCTGTGGTGCGATAAAGGGAAGCGTCCAGATTCAGAGACAGAGGGGTGTCATCAGTTCCCAGACAATATGTTTCAGCCCGTGGGCAAATGCATTCTGTCTCATATCTAGAGCACTTTTCATGCTTACACAGTCAAAGTAATAACAGAAGTAATTTCAGTTGAATTACAGAACAGTGTAATAGTTTATTCTCAGTTTTGTTTGTTTGTAGACGTTGACATCACACCACTGTAGAATCACACGGCACAGCAGCATGAAACAAGAGTTTTGCAGATGGTTTTATTTGCTTTGGCTCACGCAGATTAATTTAATTTGAATTGGAATGAAATGTTAGAGGTAGAAGCACCACAGCACAATAGGAAAAGTCAAATTTGTATATCAGCGCTGTAATATACAAAAATCAATGCACAGCAAACTTCCAACCCAAGGCCAGAACCGTACGAGACCTCACTTACACAACCTGGTCTTCAGATTAGACTTCTGCTTACGAAGCAGCTCACCCGCTGCTGTGACAATAAAGGCTAGAATTAATAAGTTCATATCCTTCTGCACGAGCCAGTTCTTATTTAGATGAATCCATCTACTCTCTCTATCTAATACATATCCTCCCCTCCTTTGTTTCTGTTCCGCTGCTTTTATCTCTCAGTGAAACACAAACGTCACATTTGCATATTTATAGTTCGGCACGTGCTCCAAAGTAAACCAGTCAGCCTGACCACTGTTTCATTCCGTGCTACAACGACTGATGCCATAAAAAGGGAACACAGTTGAGCTTTTTCTGTCTTTCAATACACAAGAAAAAAAAAAAGAACGAATTGCATCAGACATAAAACAAATGTATTATCCAGTCCACACGGTGGAGCTGCCATTGAAGAGAGAAACTAGAACCAATTTTGTCATAAAAACAAACTTATACCAAGGGAGCTGTTCGCTGTCTAAACAATAAATATCAATCATTTGAAAATTCCAGTAACTTAAAGGACAAATTGAGAAGGGATTTTTGAGCGTTTCGTGAAGCCAATCAGCGTGTGCGGTTGTCTACGCTTGCCTTTATGTATTTGTGTGTCCATGATGCTAAATATAGCCTAATGACTAACGCGGCCCACTGTCGAGGAGGGTGAGTTTTCTGTCTTTATATGTGATGTGTCAGAGAATGAGACATGACAGATCAGCACACAGAAGGCTCCGGCAGCCTCTCACATCTCCATCTGGAATTCGGTGACTCACGCAGGAAGATTTACTGAAGGCACACGCTGCCCTTAAATTAACAGTTTGGTTTAAAGGTTTGTGTTTACACCGTTAATCTCTCGGAGCCTTTCATTTTCTTTTTTTTTCGTTCTCGTCTTACCCTCTACAACTTTGCCTGTTTGCTCAGCCGCACCGCCGGGGATAACCTTGGCGATGTAGGCTCCGATCTCTCCACGGCTCCCCGGAATCTCCTTCCCACCTACCACACGGATCCCAAGTCCGTTCCCTGAGGTGGAAACAAACACACAAATCCTAATTAGAAAAAGGAAAGAGGGAGAATGCTTTGTGCCTAATCCCCGTATTATATGTCTGTGTTTGTACCTGACACACTGGTGTCCTTCATGTCTCTCTTAAGCTTGATGCGAGTGTGAGGGAAGGCGTAAGGGACCAGTTTCATCTGAGAGAGATTTTAAGAATGAAGGAAGCAGATTTACATATTGAAATCCATGACAGGGTGAACATAGGGCGCAACTAAATGTCAGACGCTTGAGTCGCACCTGTCTCCTGTCCGACATGCTTCCACTTTGAGGATGCCCTTCTCTCGGCTTATCAAACCAATCAGTGTCCTCTCTCCTTAGGTGGTAGGCTAGACAAGGAGAGGTATTAAAAGGTCATTAGGTAGCCATGCACACACAAATACACACTTAGCTATGGAATGCCTGATAGCTTGACAAATCTCTGCTTTAAATATGACGATGACAACTCGGGGCAGAGATCTGTCCAGCAATCAAGTTTCAGAAAACGGTTTCTAGTGTGCATCACAAAGTTTGTGTCACACATCCACTCCCATTTGCTAAAATGCAGGAAGATCTCTGATCTGTCCGCACTGGATAGGGGAAAGCAAAGGCGTATAAACTCTGTTCCATCCTATCCTATCCGTAACGTCTGTGAGATCAAATGATCGCTGCAAACACTAAATGAAGGATGAGTAAATTTCAAGTTTGCAGCATTTAAAGCGCTTTAAAGTTCGGCATGCCTTTAATACCATGCAGTGCTCCCCATCTGAATACAAGCTCTTTTTTTTTTCTTTCTTATTCATATTTTCATAGCTGCAGAATATGAAACACTGTTGTTAAAAAAAAAAAGTCAGAGGAAATTCTGCATTACGGTGAATAATTCTTGTCCAATTATTGTGGGTTGGAGTTGTCCCAGAACTATTTTGTGTATTGAATAGTAATACATTTCGAAACAGTTGCTAGTTTTATGTCTTTTATTTTAAAAAGAGTAACTGAATTGGTGAAGGGGGACAGGTATTTGCACACTATCTTAATCCTTACCTCCCACTCTAGCTTATGGTATAGGATGCAAGACCATACAAGTGTGAAGTGCTACTGTGCTGTGATCATGTAATCCCGAGGTAATATGAGGGCAGTGTGCTGTAAATCCACCAAAGATTCATCATACAGACATCTAATACCTTTTAAGCATATGTAACATCTGAAAGATATTGGATGTCTTGTGCCACATTTTGTATTGTAATGCTCAGAAAAATTGTAAATATCTATACGGAGAAAAATAATCAAACAATTCAGGTCAGAGAGAAATGTGCTATAGTAGAAATGGGATCACTTTGGTGGTCAAGCGATAAAGCAATAGATTGAACAAGGCTAGAATCTGCACAAGTCTGATCTAATACCATGTAGCATGTAGCATCAATAATGATGAATGAAATGGACTTTTATGTCCCTAACCAGAAAGCACTTATCAGTATGAGAGTTTTCAGGTCTATAATCAGTAATCAGTGGCGGCACTGATTTTCAGGATTGAATTGAATAAAATGTCTTCGTATTTGTGCAGTGAATAGCAATCTCAGCATGTGTGTGTGTGTGTGGTAACATTTATGCACAATATACACATGATTCTTTAGTGCATGGACATGAATACTGGGAATGGGTCTGATATATGCTTACAGAAGCACAGTGCAAACATTCCTGAATGATGTGTAACTGAAGTCACTACATGACACATAAAAAAGGTATCTAGTGCCATTAAGATGGGGTTCATTCCAGAATGGAATTGACATGTCGGCTACTAGAGAACTGCTAAAATGACATGTGTCGTGTACCATCGAGATGCGGGTCATTCCAGAATGAGTCTGGTATGTTTACAAAGTCAGCCAGAGAAGTGGACCATTCAGAACCATGATGTGCGACATGGAGGCGTACAGTCTCTATGTAACTACATGGGAGTTGGAATGCTGTCTCACCTTCTATATTCCAGTTTGGGCCTCCAGCTGGGGTACAAAGTTATATGTTTCTTTCAGAAATGCGTTCAACATATGTTCATGATTCTAACAAACTACAGGAACTGCGGTAAGACTAGATTTCTACTGTGAATATACTTCGGCACATGCACTGAAAGCAGTAGTCAATGTAAAGATGCATGCTTGAAATTACTGCAAGTCTGACATTTATAGCCTGACAGACAATTTACAAATTTAAGCAGAAGCATTATGAAAAACATAAAATGCATTTTAGGGGAAATAAGCCATAATCAAGTAATGTAAGACTGAGCCATAGTACCATGAGAAGAATTAAGTTTAACTAGTACTGTAAGATACTCTACCGTGTCTGATACTTTCATGAAAGATTCTGGCATCATCTCTGTTCAAAACCAGCATGGACTCACTTAGTGCTGCAATCAAGGCAAATGGACACTTTTACGTGGGGTCAGGACAAATATTACCTTCTCAACAAGAACTTAATTATACTGATCCTCTATAATCGGCCCAGATGCAAAGCTAAAGTTGCTAAACACTTTTGCTAATGTTGCATTATGGTGTTTGTCTGACAATCAACGTAGATGACGCTAAACCCTCTAAAACTTACTCCTAATCAGGCAAGTGTTTCAGCCACTTTCCTTTAACATCATAGCTTTTAGGATGTCACTTGTTTCTGCTAAATACATAACATATGTATGTGGTTGAATATCACCAGTTATAAACTGGTTTGATACAGAAATTGATTTGTTTCAGCTAATGGAACACTACCAATCCCACACTTATGGAGATGGAGATAGTATATGTCGATAATTGCTGTCAATCACTAGGGGGCGAGGACATCTCACATAGCAATGAGACTTCCACAACAACAACCAACAAGCAGAAGACATTCATTTTATTAGGATGGAAATGGAAAACATATGTATTACATAACATGCAAGGAATGCAAAATCAGATACAAATAGAAAATTAAAGGTTATGGAAACAAAGACATACGGTTAACTCAACACAAACAGTAATATGACACTAAATGTTGTTTTTAAAAGCGCATTTATAATTGCATGGTAGTCCTTCAGAGAAAATCTCTGCTTTAGAGTATGGTCTGTTGACCTGTACAAATCAGCCTGGAAACTGGATTATTTTTACATTAGTTTGTCACTGAAAGCCTTGGTTGCACCTGCAGAACACCTATATAGGGTATATCAACATGATTCAGCAGTTTTCCTTTAGACTTAATTCCTGCCATCCAAAACAGCTGAAAAAGTGCCTTAAAAAAGCAAACATACTTTTTCCTGAGGCAGTGACCTACTTCTCACAATGATACTACTTTGGTCTGCTCTGTTTGTGTGTGTGTGTGTGTGTGTGTGTGTGTGTGTAGGTGTGTGTGTGTGTGTGTGTGTGTGTGTGGAGGGGGTGTCCCTAGACACCCCTTGTGATACCTTCATGCAAAGGTCCTTGTCCTGCAGCATTGTCTGCATCTCAAACAGTCTAAATGCCATAGACCGTGCATGCATTTTCTATATATGTATAAGTCATATATAGGTTTTCATGATGTATGTTTATGAGGTGCAGCACACGGGACACTAGATAAATATGAACCTGGTCTGTTTCAACATACAACTGTACATTTCATATTTTAGGACTTTTGTAACACATTTCATAACACAAAACATAATCTTATATTTAATGTTATATGATAGTGTTATCTTGCTTTTAAAGATTTAAAATATAATCTCATCTATAAATATTTAAGTTGGAATCTCAATAACTGAGTTGTGTCTACCATGCATTCACTGAATGTGCCCAATATTACTGTAAAATACGTATCGCTCAGATTTTCAGTAAATATTGGGCTCTTACAAAAATAAGGCAGCTGCAATGTAGACAACATGCATGCTTAGAAACCTGTTAGCAGAGAGTTCAAGAGTCAAGATGATCTTTAAACATGAAGAAGTCATTATAGAATTAAAAAAAAAAGCATGCATTTGAAATCACAGAACAAACATGGATAGAACTGAGTAGTGACATACACAAACTCAGGCCACGAGTATTATGTATCGGTGAGTAAAATATTGAAAAGAAAGGAAAAATCATGCAAACATCGAATGTGACATTTACCGTGACAGAGAGAATATAGTAACAAACAACCAACAAGAATTATCGGGAGCACATTAATAATTGAGAAAGAACCAGTTAATGCACAACGTCAGTAAGACCAATCAGCATTAGCATGCATGACAAGCAGGTCCACACAATCGAATTGCTGCAACAGTCTTAGGGTCCATTTACCTTCGCTGTCAGACATGGCGCCTTGCAAGTCATCCATGATGAATGCGATGTCTCGATCATAGCCACGAGTGCGAGATTCCTCCCTCATATGTTGCTGTACCTCTGGCAGGGAATGGCTAGACCCAAACTGGTCCCTGGAGTCAGCAGAAATAGGAGGGAGAGGACCAGCTGAAGCTCTAGCCATACCCATAGGCTGCCCCACTGGGCTCAGAGGGCTCTCCTCCTCAGAGTTCTGAGCCACAATGGGGATACGGCCGCGGCTTTGGCTGATAGGTAAACTGGTGGGCTTTGCTCTGGCCACCCCAGGGGCAAATGCTGCATCCAGGACCTCTCCCTCGGTTTTAAGTCTAAGTGAGGAACTGGATAGGTCCCGTTTGATAGATAGATCCAAGCCATAAACAGAAGAAGGGCGAGATGAGGGGCGAGAAGAGGGGCGGGAACGGGTGCCACTTGGGTAGGTGCCATCATCCTGGACAGTTGCTCTGATAGTGGATCCCAGTCCAAGGGACTGGCCAAGATTAAGAGAACCAGATAGGTTGGCCCCTAGAGAGGAGCCTAGATATTTTTGTTGCTCAGACAAGTTCTTTCTTAGCCCAAATGTAATCTCATCCTGAAGCAACCTAGCCCTAGCAGCCAGACTGGATACAGAGGAGGCACCAGATCCCATGTAGCTGCCAAATTCAGGCTCAAGATCCCTGCTCTCCTGAATTGGGGAAAATTTGGTGATGGCCTTAGGGTCTATTAGAGCTTTTTTGTTCTTCATCTGTTTCTGGTAAAGCATAGCTGCTGGGAGTTGCTTTGCAGCCTGTTTTTCAAGGGTGAGCCTGCCAATGCTATATTTTTCTCCTTTAGGAAAGTGGCGAAAACTGCTATCACTGGGAAGGTACTGGGGCAGGCCCAAGCCTGTTAGGTGTTCCAGTCCCTCAGTTCCTCGCCTGAACTCCTGCTTGATCTGCTGCTTCAGTAGCTTCAGCTCATAGGGCTCCTCCATTGTGTCATCTTCTCCTTTACCATATCCCTGAAGCCGAGATGAGCCTAAAAATTCTGCCACCTAGAAGGGAAAAACAAATTACTGTGTAGTTACTGAATTACGCTCACACATTAACATATATGTTTCACGCGTGCCACATATACATCATGAATCAGTCATCAATTTAACAGACTGAAACATTTTATATTTGTTTGTAACTGTTTTTCAGTGAGTAGTGTCTGCATAAGAACGGCATCATTCTGTCATTGAGCTAGTGATCTGCCTGCCTACAAATTTGTTTCTTTGATATGTGCTGTGCTGAAAGGATAAAATACATTAGTGGCAGATGTAATTTTATAAACACGTAGCATCAGCCCACAGCTAAAGGCTTGCTTATTGATGATCTCACTACTAATGGAAGCAATGCCATTAATGCAAAAGTATAAAGGAGCATTTTGTATTTGTCACAGTTTCCTTCAAATACATCAAAATCCTTTTGACAACATCTAATCATTCAGTCAGACAATGATCCCGAACATGGCCAAAAGAGAGGTGGAATATCTGTGACTAGCCAATTCAGTCTCCTGATCTCAGTGTGTTTGAGCAGCATTGCACATGCTGAGGACCTGACTATAAGTAGAGACACCTCAGAACAAAGAAGTGCTGAAGGTGGTTGCCTTGAAGTATCACCAATGGTGATTCCAATGATGTGATGTCTATGAGTTGAAGGTATTATTTTAGACAAAATAGTACACATGATGATGTCACTGACTTGGCTTTAAATTGACCTTGACTCTCCAAGTACTTGTGTATCGTTAGACTTTGGCCACCATGTCTTGAAAAGGCTGTTTCCCTTACAGAGTTGTATTTATCGACGTAAATCTATTGTGTGACTGCTCAAATGCATACAGTACATACTGTACATACAAAAAGAAATGTGAAACGTATAATCTTACCTCTGCTGTGCGCCTGACTTCTGCTGCCCTGAGTAGTCTGTCTGCTTTGGACAACTCCTTATCAGGCAGGTTGAATCCAGAACCCAAACCAGTATTGCTCAACCCTGTTGAGGTCTTGGTGAGCTCTCCTATGTCTTCTATGAGCACATAGTTCCTGGCATTATGGTGGTCAATATCAGCATAGAAAGAATCAGCAGAAATGCTGGACATGGGACTAGAGGCCATGCTCCTCTCTTCTAATCCGAGCCTCAAGTCCAAGTTGCCATACTTTCCCCCAAGGTGAGCCACCCCGTAGCCACTTTCTGCTGAGGTTGGCACAATGAGCAGAGGCTGGTTGCGTATCACCTCGTAGTTGGTGGTAATTTTAGGCTCTAAATCTGACAGGGTCGTTTGTCGCTGCTTTCCTTGCTGCAGGAGCAAAGCATGTTGGTAGCTGCTAGGCTGACCCTGGCCATGGGAGAGGGATAAGGTTGGGTAAGGAGACACCTGTTGGTGGTAAAGGGATTGCTGCTGATACAGATTCTGCTGGGTGTAATGGCTGGTTGTTTGGGTCTGGGGAACATACTGAGCATAGTGAGAGTAGGGACTAGTTAATGTGTTGTACTGAGAATCGGCTTCTGTCTGTGGGGGGATGAATTGGTCGAATTCCGACTGGGGAGCCGTCCGTGGTCTCTCAAGGCCATCTCCCCTGGCCTCTCTGATGTTGCTAACCTCGCTGTCTGACATGTAGTCTCTTTCCTCCGCCACCCCCTGGAGATAAGCCCTCTCCCTCTTTTCTCTCTCCTTCAGCAAGGCCTCCTTACGGCGGTTGATACCCATCTCCAGGTACCTAGAGTAACAGAAAAGAGCCATTCTGTTTTACAATTTGAGCACTAACAGTTCTATTAACGTAATGTTCCGGTTTCTCACACATTTGTACCTGTTACAATGTGTGAGTGTGGAGAGGTCTCATTGAGTGTTGTCAAGGCAGCCTTTTAGCCCATAAGCTATTAAGGTAAGAAGGGAATCATGCAGATAAATTAGGAATAATGATTGCATGAGATGGACAATGCAGATGTATCGGTTTTGATCAAACTATTACATACCAGTTGGTTGCTAACATTATTTGTTAATGAACTAATAGTACAGGATCTGAACAATAAGGGTAAGGCTGTACTCTAAAATGTGTTTAATATAAATTGTGTAGCATCTTACCGTAGCTTGGCATCAATCTCCTTTTCCTCTTCATCTAACTCAGCCTGTTTCTTGCGAAGTTTAGAAGATTCTCTCTCCACCAGATCAAGCTCCTTGTCAATGTCTTGCAGAATCTTTGCCCGTGCCATTGTTGTACTGCGGGCAAGGCGGCGACGAGCAGAGTTGGTGCTGTAGCCTGACCGTCCTGTCAAAGAGTCATCCTCAGGAGGGGGGTCTGGTAGTGTCCGCTTTACCTTCTTACCTGTACTAGAGGGAGATCCTCGACTCTAGAATATAAAACCAAATCATATATCCGTCAGTCACTGAATGGTAACCTGTCTGAATACAATTACACTTTAATTTGCTGTATGCTTTAATATCATGTTTGAATTCAAAGCATTTTTATAATTCTGAAGCAATCAGCACTTTTAAAAAAAATTATAGTCAACATTGATATGAAAGCTTGCATTTTTTTTTCAGGTTTATATTTGCTATGACTTACAGAATAGCTGTCTGCATAGTATCCACCCATCCTGTCGTCTGTGGAAGGACTAAGGGATTTTGGATCAGATAAAGACTTCTGACCAGCCTTTAATATCCGAGGGCCAGAAGAAAATCTGGTTGGGTCTGCAGTCAGCATCCTCTGCCCTCCAAGTGACTTCTCTGGGGACATGGGGGAGACTTGGGTGTAGAAGACTTTAGACTTCGAGGGAATGTCTGCTGTCAGGTGTGTGCTGTAGCCCAGCTCAATCGGTGTGTGCCTTCTGTCGGAGTCTGTCTGACAGCTCAGACTGCCACCCCTCTGAGAGTTCTCTGGAGCTGATATATGCTTGATGATCTCTACCTTTGTGTCCAGCTGGACATTGGGTCGTTTGATGGTTCCAGAGTGGTCAGTTTGGACAGATATCTCTGCCACTGTCTGGATAGCAATGCTGGAGACCTTGGAGCCATGTTTCCCATCATTGCTATGCTTTCGAGAGCGTCGTCGAGCTTTTGTAGGAGCATCCCATTCATCTTGGTCCTCATCATCAGTCTGAGCTGAGCTATCAATATTTCTCTTATTCTTCTTTCTCCTGCCCACATGCTGCTTCTCTGCTGAGTCTTCATCATCTGTCTGCACCCCACTATCAATTATTTTTTTCCCTATGTCCTGATCAGCCTGAAGCTTGCTTACTTGATTAAGCTGGTTGTGACATTCTTCCATATGTGTCCCAACAGATGGAACTGAAGACTCATCTTTGACAGGCCAGTACTGACCACTGTCACCTACTCCTGCATATTTAGCGTCTAGGAGGTTGCCTGTGGTGCCAGTGGTACCATAGTGCTCGTCTAGCTGCCGCTGGAGTTGCAATTGGAGTTGTTGGATTTGCTGCAACTGCTCTTTCTGCTGGGCATAGGTCTCTTGCTGGGCCACCATGTGGGCATGATGCTCCTCTTCCTGTTGTAGGAGAAGCTGCTGTTTTAGAGCCTGAAGTTCCTCAAGCTCTCTTTGGACCATAAGCTGCTCCTGTTCTCTGTAACGCTGGATTTCCTGCCTTTCCCACTCCAGCTCCTCAGCAAGACATAGCTGCTTTAGCTTTTCCAGTTCTAGAAACTCCCTCTCCATCTGATACTGGGCCATTTTGGTGTTGTCTAAGCCAGGGAATATTGGAGACGAAGCTAAGGCATCCAGAGAGGCAGCAATTGCTTCCAGGGTTGTGTCTGAGTACATGTCAGGATAGCCAGTTATAATGTCTGCCAAAGCTGTGGGTAGTAGCTCCTTATGTAGCTCAGTGTCAAAAGGAACTATCTGTCCTGGATCTGTAGTGGGAATGAAGCCATACGGATGTGGCAGTGATTGGTTCTGGACTATTGATGTTGGTGTTAAGGTAGTGCTAAAGATGGAGCCTGGTTGAGTTGTAATTGCATATGTTGATGGAACTGGGGCAGCAACAGAGGAATAAACTATTCCATCTGAGGTTCTTAGAACACTATTTACACCAAACCCAGCTGCAGGGACCTGGGAGAATGGAGCAGCAGTCATCGCAGGGTAGAGTCCAACAGCTTTGCTAGTGTAGTCTAGTGCTTTACCTGCGATATAAAGTCCAAAGATTTAAAATTTACTTCATCAAATAGGTTATACTTATAGAAACACACAAACTGTACAGTATATTTGTTGAAGGCCATGCAATTTGGATTTAAAAGACTTCCACTGCACATGCATATCTGCAGTCATTTTGGCTAGCAAGATGCAAAACCAAAATAATGTGGTAGCACACGCAGGCACACACATGCATCTGTGTGAAGAAAAAAAAGGGGGGGAAAAACAAGCAGACATTATTATTTAAGGAAATCATGCATGTAAAACAGCAAAGCAAATGAAAAAGTTAGGCATTAAAGAATGAACTTAAAGGAAAAAGAAACATATGTCTTCACTAAGTATTGAGCTGTAGCAATGTATGTCAAAGAGCAAAGGAACTTAGTAAATTAAAGTATGAAGTTTATTATATCAGTCAAATGCAAGCTCATGAAGCAAATGCAGAGCACAGAATTAAAAAAAGATGACAACACAGAAACACTCCCACACTTACCGGCAGAAAGTTTAGCAGCAGTGAGGTCTATGGCGCCATCTGAAGATCCACTGAGGTAGTCATAGTCATTCTTGGGATCATAGGGGAAGAGTCCTGCCTCTGTGAGGTTGGTCTCAGACAGTGATGCTTTTATTCCATTCATTCCTTTGATACCGTACAGTCCAGCATTATCATATTGATAGTGGTCGTCTCTGTATCCAAAACGGTTGTCAGGCTGGGTTGTAACTGGAGGCTGTGTCCTGCAGCTTCCTGTAAATGGTAGCTTGTAAATTACATCACAGCATACACTCCTTCTACCAGCTGTAAGGTCCACTGGCGTTCCATCATCTTCTACAACAGTGGTGACCACTCCTGGGCTTGTACCAGACAAAGCAACCATAGCTCTCACTGGTCTGTAGTTTGACAGATCCATTGCCCCTGTGGCCTCTAGAGAGAGGACAGGACTGCCATTTCTGATAACTGTTGGGGTTGTAGTCATTGGCTGTTTTCCTCCAGAGGAGACAAGAGCTTCCAAAGACAGATTAATGGGTATGTCTTGAGCTGTAGATGCTACAGCACTGACCTTGGGCTGAGAGTTCACAGGTCTGTATACAATCTGTGCTAGTGGTTCGAATGGTTTGTATGTGGTGAGAGGTAGAGGTAATGACATAACAGGGCCTTGCAAATCAAGCGGTTTCTCTGCTGGAGTGTTGTTGTATGATGCAATGGTGGCTGTGCATGTGACTATTGTGATGCTGTCAGTAACAACAGACAGTGTGGTTGCAGGGGTGATCTCTGCACTAAGATTCACAATCTCCGGCTGTACTGCTGTGATTTGACGTCCACTAGAATCACTTGAAAAAGACTGTCGACATGACTCAGGTGGAGTGAGGTCCATGCCTTGCTCAGTCATCTTTATGCCAACCTTCATAGTGCGTAAATCAATAACATCACCAGGATAGATTATTTTACCATTTTGTTTGGGCACAGGTTGGACTTTAGCAATGTCTGGTTGTATAGTGATTGCTACACTCGGTGGAGGAACCTGTGGGAGTCTTTCATGAACAACAGAGACAGTGGTCCTCTGGACCTCAGTGGTGACCACTTGAGTGACAAGGCTAGGTAGGCTTTCAGGGGGCTGACCTGAGGTGGAAATGGAAGAAGAATACATGTGACTCATACTGGAGACTACTTTTTCTGGTCCCCTAATCTCTTGGCTCTCAATAGACTCTTGCTGAATTTTAGTGATGGTGACTGGAGCCACAGATATCCCCTGTGGAATGTCCTGCACAGTGGGCATTGAGGTTCTCCTGGTGTACGCCTCAGTGGTTATTATCTCCAGTGGGTGGTCATATTCTGATGAGTAAGTCAATACTTGTGGATGCTGTTCTGTTGAGGGAATTGACTCTCTTCTGTAGGGGCCCTGAGCAGGATAACTATCAAAAGGAACAGCTTTTTCAGCTGGCACATTTACTACCTGTGCTAATGGTAATGATTGCTGCATGGTTATGGATTCTCTCCTGGTGGCAGCAAAGGCCTCAGTTGTAACCACTTGCTTGGGTACGTCATACTCTGCAGGGTAAGTAAATATCTCACTTGTAGTGTATGGTGGCTGTACTATGGATGATATGGATGTCCTCCTCCTATGGGTGGTTTCCTCAGATGTAAGAACTGGCATCCCAGCCACTGTCTGAGGTTGTATCGCTGATAGTGGTATTGAAGGTCCTCTTACATCCGCATCCTTTGTTACAATTTCTGTGGGTGTCGCGTGTCCAGGCTGCGTTGCTAAGACCTCCAGAGGAGGCACTGAATGTGGCATCACAGAGGAATTAATTGCTTCATAGACCTGTGGAGTATAAGAATGTACAGGAGGTATATCTGGGTGTATTGCCATTTGTTGAACTTCCATTACTAGAGGTTCTGGTGTTACTTGAGCAGTTGGAGGAGTTGTTATCTTAGCATCCATAGCTAGTGGCATTAACTCAGACACTGCAGGAATTGGAGCAACTTCAGCTACTACAGGTATTGTATGAGGTAGTGGACACACCGCTGCTACTTCTGGTATTCTAACAACGGTTTCAGTTGTTATAACCTCTGTAGGCAATTCAAACTTTGAAGGGAGGGTCACTACTTCAGTTACCATAAGAGGTTGCTGTGTAGATAGCTGCTCCATTACTGTAGGAGGAACTTCATAAGGCTGAACTGTTTGTGGTACTGATGACAGTTCAGAAATGGTGTGAGTAGTGTAAAAACTTGGTGGAAATTCTTGTTCTTTATAGTGTGTCACTGCTTCATATACTGTTGGTGGCTGTTCAACAGTAATGTGCTGACTCACTTCTGGTACTAACGATCTTTTCGGAACTGCCTCTGTGACAATGACATCAGTAGGTATATCCTGTTCATTCTGTAGCATTTCTATTTGTGTTGCATCTTGCGGATAAAGAACAGTTGATTGGAGTGCAGCTGATCTATCTTGATTGACCAGTACATCTAAAGATACTTCAGGCTGCACTGGTACAGCAACAACTTCAGTCAGAGGCTCTGGCTGTACAGGTGCAGTTATTTTGGGGGCCTGAGGACCCACTGCTTCAGCTGAACCCTCTGGTGGAAGTGTTGTGACTTCTGTGGCTATGCTTGGATGCTGAGGAACAAATGGTGTAGACTGTGCTTTTGCCATGGCTTGGACTGCAACTGGTTGAATAAGAACCTTTGGCTCTGGGGGCATTGAGATGACCTCAGTTATTGTATTATTTGATGGTAGTTGCGGCGTCATTGATTGCTGCGGTTGTACATATGGTTTCTTAATTGGAGGAGGTACTGTATGTGCCTGAATGCAGATGTCCTGATCTGTTGACACTGCCACTGCAATAGCATCAGCGGCAGAGACTGGTGGTTTCACTACAGACGGCACAGCTTCTGTCATGGCTTGCACTTTAGCCACCGTTACCTCAGAGGTTGTCGCTTGCTCTGCTGCCACAGCTGGAGTTATAGGCATTGGAGGTGGATGCCTTACAGTTGGAACAGAGGCTCTCCTAACTGCAGCCTGTGCTGAGAATGCCTCAGTGGGTGTTTTCTGCTCTGACGGTGTGGTCCGTACCCCAGACACTTTTGCAGCTGGGATGGATCCTCGTCTTACAGGTGCTTGGACTGTTATGGCCTCTGTTGGTGAGCCAGGCTCAGACGGAAGAGTTATCACGACATAGGTCTGTAAACATTTGGCATGTCTCGGAGACAAAGGTGATTTCGGAGATGTTGTACCCAACTTTGACTCCACAGGTCGTGTCAGGCTAAGTGACAGAGCACTTGGAGGTTCTTTCGTCCTAGGCAGCGTTGCTGCTTTGGGGTACACAGGAGGAGGGGGCGGCTTGACACTCTCTCCTGGTTTGTGGCTGAAAACCAGTCCAGCTGGAATTGATACAGGTTTAGGTGGTATGGGTGGAGGAGGTTTGGTGGTTTGACTCGGGCCAGTTGTTGTAACAGAAACTGGTGCTACTGTTGCTGTAGCAATTGTCACTGTCGTGGCAACTGATGACTTTGAATAAACTGTTGGTTTGGGTGATGTAGGAGGTGGTGGAGTTGAATCAACAGTTTCTTCGATTGTGTGTACAGCTTTTGTGCCTGTCATAGGTTTAGGTGGAAGCGGTGGAGCTGAAGCTACTTGCACTGCAGGCATCTTAGTCGTTAATGATGCTATGTCTGCGCTGGGTATATATGAAGCAGGACATGTGGCTTCTTGATCACTATGTAGAAGAGAAGCAGTGGAAGTTGTTGGCCCTGTGCCAGCTATATCTTGTGTGCTTTGTCCATGCAGAGATGCTTTTTCCACACTGGGCACTATGATAACTACATGCCCCTGTCTGTTTGAGGTCACTACCTGAGGTACAGATACACTATCTGGTGGTATGACGTCCATTCTTGGTTGTATATCCACAACAACAGACTGCATTGGTTGGCTTGCCACTGTGGTTCCCATAGCTAATGTTGTCGGAGTGACTTGCTGAACAGTCTTTGCAAACGGCTGCTCTGTGTTACTGTCAGGTAATGATACTGAAGTAGACCGAGGGGGAGGAGGAGGTGGGACCTTCTTTTTGATTACAGTAGTTGATGCTGGAGCTGGAACTACCACCGGGCTCATTGATGGGAGAGCTGATTGTACAGGGACTGAGTGTACCACTTTGGGTTGGGCTTGGACTTGAGCTGGGGTAGTTATGAGTGCTGAGACTGGTAGAGGGGTTTGTTCAGAGATTGGAGCTGTAGTTGAAACCAGGTCAAGCATCTGGACTATAACTGGCTCAGGATGGGAGGCCAAACTGACAGAAGCAGAAATAACATGAGTTGATATTGGAGTGGAGACTGAAACAGCTGGAGCTGTAACTTGAGCTTTAGGTGGAGCTGAAATGACAGGTGTTGGACTTGGTGCTGCAACCTGTGCAGGTGGAAACTTAATAGGAACCTGAGATGGAGATGAGACCAAGTCTGGCATTTGGACAACAACTGGTACAGCAGTAGACATCTGCATTAAGGCTGGACTTGGGGAGTCAGCTGTAGCAGTATTATCTTGAACTACCACAGTTGTTTGAGCTTTGGATGGATGAGAAACCACATCTGGTATTGTAACTATAACTGTGGTAGAAGTGGAAGATGCTGCTGATAGTACTCCTGCAGTTGTGGCTGGCAACTGGATCTCTGGAGGTGACTGGGCTTTAAATGAAGTTGGAGGTGTTGGTGTAGACAGTGGAGTTGAATCTGATGAAATAGGTGTTTGAGCCTGGAATGACGATGAAGACGTAGCATTTGAAGCCAAACTGGAATCTGGAGTGGCTGGTGAAGTTGGCGGTGACATTGGTGATACAGGGGAAGGTGTAGTGGTTAGCTCGGGGGCAGAAATTGGAGTTGGAATTGGTTTTGGCTCTGGGATTTCACAAACCACAAGGATAGGTTCCATCTCAGTAGGTTCAGACAACGGTGGACTTATGGACTGATCGTCTTTAGTCTCAGAGTCATCACTGGGGGTAATGTCAGAGGAAATGCCAATTCCATACTCATCTGCAAGACTGTCATCCTCTTCCTCCCCAGATGAACACTGGGTAATCTTGAGGTCCGGTATGGGGAACAATGCTTTTCTGAGTGCAGGATCCATAGGAACCATAGGCCTAACAAAACCTATAGATCCACTTGGAGTACTGGGAACAACAGCAAACTCGGGACGCTTAGGGGGTTCGGAAGGACGTGGAGGGGCTGGTCGTTTCTTTTTCTTTGCCGGCATCTCAGTCAAAGTTTCAGTGTCTGCAGGAGGTGTATCAATTTGTCCAGTGAGATATGTCTCTTCTGCTGGTATGGTCACCACACAGGTCTCAGCAATAATGGGAGTCCCTGTGACTGAAGCCCCTGATGAGGACGATTCCATGGCAGTCTGGGCCTGTTGAAATTCATGCTCTATCATCATCAGCTCTCGCTTTTTCTGCATCATCTCCTCATAAACCTCCTCTGGAGATCTGAGCTTTTTGAGAGATTCAGAGCCACTATCTATTTTGGGTTCTTCCTCTTGGAATTCACTCATCTTAATTTCAGGTTCTTCAACTAAAGATTCATAAAGATAATCTTCTATTGCCATTCCCCCATAAAGTGGCTCAATATCAGGAGGACTTTCTCCTGGAATAGCTTTTGTCTTCTGAATTATTTCCTCATATGCTTCTTCAGCACTCTTCAATGATTTTGTCACAGTTTGTTTCTCGTCAAATGGATCAGGAGTGTATGGTATGACTGTTGGTGAGGGTTTTCGTCCCCTCTGCACAGCTCGCCTAACCTCTGGTTCTGATTCAATACTTGCAGAGTACTCGGAGCCAGATGTTCTGTGGCTTTCATCTATTACAGTGACTTGTCTCAGATCCTCTGTGGAGGAAGCATCTCCAGGTGGAGACAGTGGTTGGCCATGGGCCCTCATCTGTTCTTCCTCGGAGGAGTCTTCAATGGTGGGAAGAGGCTGAGTTGGCTGCCTGTGTTTACCTTTACGGTGGTGTTTGTCGCCAGTGACTTTCTTGTGAATGGGACTGCTGTCACTGTCCTCCTCTAGTGATGAGGCTGATGTAGGTGAAGATCCTGGAGTAAAGCTAGATGCCTGAACACTAGACGAGCCCTTTGATAGGGATTCTGTGATGCTCTCTACCTCTTCATCAGTGCTTTGTCTCTGTCTCATGACTGGAGTAGCCTTCTTGAAAGTAGTCCTGGGCATTGTTTCAGGAACACTTTCAGCAGTTGCAGTGTCAGTCTTTGGGAGAGATTTTTTCCTGGCTGGACTATCTTCATTATCTGTGCTACCTTTTCGAGGCAGTGATGTGGCTGTCACTGAGGCATTGTCAATCTCAACCTCCTTGACAGCCTGTAGATTTGCTGAATTCTTCTCTTTCTCCTCGTCTGATACAGACATTTCTTCTTCATCACCCATACCCATTATCTGCTTGCGAATGAACTCTTCATCTTCAATAGAAGAGTCGGCGCTTTCAGTTTTGATGTCCTCACTGCTGGATGAAACAGGGCTCACCTTTAGCCTCCTCCTCTGGACTTTAGGGGATGGTGAAGGTGTGAGTTCACTTCCACTGCTCTCATCCATTGGCTGGAAACTGAGGCGCCTTCTCTCAGCTTTAACCTCCTCCTTCACTGGTACTGATAAATCTGTGCTGATGTTATCTTTGCTTGCATCACTAACCGCCTGCCCATCATCAAATTCCTGTACTATAGGTAAAATCTGGGGCTGATCTTCTTCATGCTCCTCTTTGGATGTAGGCTTAATAGCTGTTACAGGAACAACTTTGTTTTCCAGTTGAACTTGCCCAGCAGGTAGAGACACCTTCCTATTTTTCTCTGACTCTTCTTTGTTTTCATCTTGATCCTAAAAACATGAGAAAAAAAACAAAATATCAGTAAATACATTCCTTCAATTAAAGAACCAGAGCTCTGATCTGATGGAGTGGGAAGATGCATCCTTCAAGTCTTCTTAATATAAGCAAAGCATTGGTGGTTAAACTATTACAGAAGTTATATAAACAAACTAAACAGATTGTACGCCCCGCTTGAGTTAATCAGTGTAACGGAAATTTTCAATGATTGAATGAGAGTGGGTGAGAGTAAATGAGATTGTAACTGAATGATACAGCTTCCCACAACACTTGCTTGAAAATTCTCTTACTGCAGTGAACTTTCTTTCCCCCCCAGTTACATGCTTCCTTGTTGATAAAAGAAACCTCTCCAAGAAGTTCTTTAACTCAAACCATGTTAAAGTGAACATTTGTCATCATAATAATCATTTAAAAAAAAAGATGATCCATTCTTACTTTTATAATTATGCTCTTCGTAGGTACTGGTTTTGACTCTGGAGCCGAGGTGATGTCAGTGATCTTTTCCTCCAACTTATCAGCGATTTCCTTGCTTTCAGGTTCTCTGACAGGTTTCACTTCTAATGTGAGCTGCTGTTCTTGCGTTGTTGGTTGCACCTCAACTTGTTGCAAAGATTCTGCTGGCTTTGTTAGTTTGATATCATCATCAGGCTGTACCTCCTTAATAATCCTCTCTGGAACAGACACCTGGGCTTTTGTTTCAGTCTCTGGAACAACTCCAGACACAGCCTCTGCAGCAGTAGTTTCTGTAGGTACAGTTGTAGCTGCAGTCATCGGAGTAGCGGAAGCCATAACTGCACTTGCGTCAACTTTGACTTCTGGAAGATCATGTTTAGACTCTTGAGCTTTGGGAAGTTCTGCCACACTGATATCCATTTCCACTGCCTCTTCTTTCTTTTCCACAGTTACAGTCTTGGGAATATCTGTGTTTGGCACTTCAACCTTTGGTGTTACCTCTGGCTGTTGCACAGGGGCCATGGGAGGTGTAAAGGGTTCTGCTGTTGGTGTCGCTAAAGGCTGTTTTTCTGCAGTAACAGGTGAAACCTTTGCTATTTTGGGTGCAGGCGTTGTCTCAGGTTCAATTTGTGTGGAAGCTGCTGTAGCAACAGCTTCCATCTTGACAGATGTAGGTTCTGTCTTTGCTTTTGGGGTTGGAACTGTTGGTACTGCCTCGATAGGGGCAGGTACAGGCTGTGGTTTTGTGGCTCCAGGTTTCTCTTCTGCCTTTGTGGGGGCAGTTTTGGGTTCTGCCTTTGGAGTTGCAGGTGCGGCCTGCGTCTCTGGCTTGGCAGGTACAGGTGAAGGTTGAGGCATTGTTCCTGAGTCTCCCAGCTGTCCCGACAAAGCCCTTTGGGTCTGGCAGTTCAAACACAGCCATTCCTTCTGTAATCAAACAAACAAACAAACAGCATTAAGAAACACAGTTTGCAAAGATTAAAAAATTAGTTTTTGTTTTGTTGTTGTTGTTGTTGTCTTTTTACCTGTCATGTATAATTGAATACACTGGTGCTGGTGGAGGAAGTTTTTGCTAAATCAGTATTTCTGGAGGATAAGTAAGGTTTATGGTGGAATAACTGAATTCAGCAAGGCTACGTCACATAAGTAATCCAGAATTAAGTCATTTCTCAAAGCCAACTAAGAGCTATTGCCATCCAGCTAATTATGTCCTGTACCCATATCATTTATTTGCTCAGTGAGATAACTAAGGCATTGCATTATTCAGGGCAGAGCACTGAAGTTATGGATGCATTATCAGCTTCATTCATGCTTCACATCAGTGGCTTTCTTCATCAGCTCCTTGGCTATTAGCTAACTACCAACACACAGTTATATTTATATGCATGACCAGCACAGCTGTGGTTTCTGAAGCCTGTTGCTTTTCACTGTCACTAAATTAAGTGCAGTGCTGTTTGTTGATGTGGTTCTTTTCACCATAAAACCTCTGTACACACTTTTTTTTTTGGTACTGTTGACCTAACTATGTTTTTCTGGTGTGTGTAGATAACAAGATTAGTTCTCCCCCAAGAATTTTTGGATTCTTGGAAAATTCTCTCAAAAACAACTGAGCCTTTACAGGTGACTCCAACAGTAACATGTATTTGCCATTAACTGTAAAATCTGTGATGTAAGCTCTGGATGAATTTGCTTTTTCTAACACCTATTAAAAGCAAACACATATGCCAGTGTTGGTCAGTTGATTATACAGTAGAAAGCCAAATCCAAAGACTGCAAACCCAGTAAATTGACATTTTCAGTGGTTGCAGTCTGTGGTCCCAGGATCTGTTGCTACTGTCTGTTCCTAAGGCTAGAACTGAACGGGGAAAGAAAGCTTTTAAATTCGCTGCTCCCTCTACCTGGAACACATTGCAAAAAGACCTGAAACTTCAAGAGCTGGTCTCTTCAAACACGTTTAAGATGTTCCTAAATGACTTGGAGGCAAAATCATCAGTCTGTAGATGTTTCGACAGATGATTATTTTGCCGGTTATGTTTCGGATCTGTACTGATATGTTGATTTCTTATCATCAATATGTATTATGTATTATGATGTCTGTGTGGGTGCTGTTGTGACCTTGTCTGTCTGTCAGTTGTGCTGCTGCCTGTCTTGGTCAGGACACTCTTGTAAAAGAGATTTTTAATCTCAATGAGCCTTTTCCTGGTTAAAAAAAGACTAAATTAAAAAAATAAAATGAATAATTTTAAATAAGCAAATGAATTAGTTTTTCACTTTTTAACCACATTAGTATTAATCAAAATGACGCTGTGAAATCATGGAAAAATTATACTTTTTGGTGTTTGGGGTGCCATCTTAGCGTTACCATACATAATACCTCAGTGCAGTTTTCTCCTGATCCTGCCTCTACCGATTACAAGTAAAAGAATCTGCAAAAGGCAAAGTAAAACATGATCAAATTCTTAGAGAAGAGAGACATTTTGCTACTCAAATCCACTATTTAAAAGAGTAAGGGATTATATTTGGTCTAATACATCTGTTGACATGACACTCTGTTCAGAAGAAGCCCTGGTGCTCTATGCTTTGACGAGCTGTTGCATTAACTGAATGGTTCTGAGGAGATCCTGTGTTAACTGTAGTTTTCTGACTTCCTGTCAGTCCTCTAGTGCCGATTTAATTTTTACATTTTTTATTTTTTTTAGAGAAGACCTACAATTAATAATTCACCTGTTTCAAACTCAATACGACATGCTGATAATCAGCACGGTAATTCACAATGATTCTTTTTCACAGGTGATTAGTAAAGGGCTGCTCTGAAATCAATCAGAGGGAATCATCTCACTCTATTGAGAAGTCAGTCGATGTTTGGTGTACATTACTGTCTGAACTGTCGTGTCCTGAACGCCGTAGTGTGTGCACCTTTGTGTTGCTCTGTTTTCTGATTCTTGAGCTTTAAATACTCTTTTATCCAAATACAATAAAACAATATCCTTGGATAACTTTTATTGTTATTGTTGGATAAGCAACTGGATTTAACAGCAGCATCATTCTTTTTTGTTTCTGTTATTTAAGACTATAAGTTTATGGAGGAACATTTGCTGAAAAATAAGAGAGTCCCTATGCAGTTATTAAAGTATTTTACTTGCATTAAAATACCAGAGTGATAAAAGGTTCCAATTAGGTGTTTGGGAACACATTTAGGTCTCAGATTATGAAAGTTAAAATGATATGGAGATAAAATATTAGGCAATGAAGAGAGGAAAAAAAAAAAACACTATCTGCATAATGTCATATGTGCCAATAAGAAAATGAGGTGCTGCCATGTCCTGAAGTGGATGAAAGCAACAACAGTTGTCACATTTTCTACTACAGACGATTGATTTGTTATTGACCAAAACAGAAGGAAAACACCACCGTTTCTTATGCTGAGTAATACCATAGCAGTCAAAGTAATATAAATTCAGTCGTCAGCGCACAGTATGTGCTGAACAACCGGACCTTCCACACATAAATATTTACCATAAATACGGTTTTCAACAAAGCCTGTGCTCCCTGTTGTTCACATGCTCTCTGCTATTACATTAGACCTTACATCATTTCCAAAACAGGAATAAAAAATCTTACCTTGCAAAAGTGCTAATCACATTTTATAAGGAGTGCTATTACTTAAAAAATTTAATCCACTGAAGACATTTCTTATCACATCTTAAGCTCCATTAATGGACAGTTAAGGAGGAGAGGAAAGCATAGGCTGTCAATAGATAAAGCAGTGTGTCTGTACTAGCAACCTAGCAGACCAAATCACAGCAATGCGCCTGCCTCTGCAGAGCCAGGGAGAGCTGCTCTGATACAGGACAGAGGGGGAGATTACAGCACACACATATCCTGAGAAACACAATGAAGTTGTAATTGCTTTATCCATTAGATAATGTATCAGAGCCTGTGCATATTTAGTGCATCGTAATTACAGAACGGTCGCATGTGAACTCGAATGTTTGGACACAGAAGTATCTGGATGTGTCTGTACACGCATGTAGTCTTCGATATGACCATTTGCGCCGGACACACCGACAAAAATGAAAAACATGGTTCGAGGGTTCATGTGTGGAGTTGAGTTTTAGTAAGTGATGTAATCTGCCGTCTGTCATAGCCAGGCTTAGGCCTGCTCTTACAGTCCAGCTGTGCCAAACCTTTTATCTTTTTACCCAGAAACAACCATAAAATATCACACAGCTAAGACTCGTTGGCATTATACTCCTAAATAGAAAGACGGTGCTTAAAGCAACATTTAAAAACGACTGGTGAGAACTAAAAAAAATACAAAATTAGTGAGAAAATATCATGTTGCATTTGAATCTTAAATTTCTATATTTCATCCAACATGTAACACACTTTTCAAACCTACAACTGCCTAATTCATCACAGAGATTTAATATTTGGTAAAAAAAAATCTGATCGGGTCGAATAAATCCACTGTAAATAGAGCACGACTGAATCCATAGCTGCGCATATTCTACCCCGAAATACTGGGCAGCAGTAACCCTGCAAGGAAAGCTTTATTAGCTGCATTGCTGTAAAAAAAAAAATGTCTTCACTGACTGAGAAATAATAACGGCAAACAGAATTACCAGTAATGAGAACATATAACGTATGCGGTTTTGGATGAATAAAGCCATAACTAAATTCAAAAACATTGCCTGACTTAGGGGAAAACTGATATTGATGCCGAGATGCTTTTGTTCAGTCAGTTGTGATTTAGGCAGGAGTCTGATAATCCTATTTGTTCCCAACAGCAGCAAACAATACCTCATCAGCACAGTGCATGATGCTGATAATTGTGTAAAGCAGGAAATGATTTAAACCTCAATTTCATGTGAGCTGATGCGAGCTCGGCCTCAGTGATGGGTTACCTTTGAAGTTTCACAAACTCTATATGGATATACGTTTTTAAAAAAATTCTTCCTGAGGGTGATGAAAACCCTTTTAGCTCAAATATTACAACTGCCGCGCCTCGTACCATTTCTGCTTCTCCCTCTCTGTCACACTGGCAGGATGTAATCACAGCTAACAAGGAACATGCTCCTGTTGCCTACGTATGCTAATTAGCACAATCATGTAACCGCTGAGGCTGCTCGGATGATAAATTAGCAATCATAAGCTGTAGCTTTCCCTGCTTGTCCGATCATCTTGTAGACCGAGCACGATATCGAGAGGCAGCTCGTATCTTTATAGCTATGAAAACAGATTCAATTATACCTGTATGTAATTTGAAGGACAAGATATTTAACAGTAGTTGCTCTTTGTAGATGGAATTTCTGAGGCTATAATCTTAGACAAGAATTTTGTTTGTGCATCGGGATGTAAAATCATTTCACAATTCCTCCAGAGAGACTGTAAATAAACACAGTCGCCTAGATATTATGCTTTTAACATGTCTATCATTGACCTCTATTTAGTCAGTTGTACTGTCTTACTTAAACTAAATTTCTTTGCTCTGAAGGTAGCTGCACATTGAAATGAATACATATTTCCATTACACAAGTTGTAGGATGATCTACTGTAATTTGCAATCTAAATATGAACCTCTCCAGGTGATGCACAGGTCCAAGTCTCAGCATGAAGACTGACCTTTGTCACCTAAAGTAAAGAACAGATGGACGGGGGAACGATGTATGCGGTTGGAAGGGTTGCATGTTTGCAATTTGTTTTTTACAAGCCAAAACAAATCAGCAAGACTCAACATGCACACACCATCACTGCATCAACCTTGCATCTGACAACTCACTTAACGTGCTAATTCTGAATCAGACGACCGAAAAAAAACTAAATGAAAAACAAAAAAAAAACATCTCCGTCAACAAAAAAAAAAAAAGACCTAATCCCATCACATCCCCCTCCGGTGCCAGTCGCCGCCTCACAGCCACGCAGATGCAGAGCCATGTATCAGAGCCACGGGGTTTGGAAAGTCGCCATCATCCTTTTGTCTAATTAAATCTGTTTTATGAGTAAAGAGCAGGAGCTCCTAGCAGAGAGCTGTGGGAGAGGCTGCTCCACACGATTAGCCCGCTGTGCGCCGGATTACCAGACCTTCACAATGACAGCATCAGAAAAGTTTGCTTTTGACACACAGGTGTGCCGCATTAAGCTAGATTTCCTCAGCTTTATAAAGAATTGCCAAGTTCACTTTTTTTTCAAAGCAAAGAAACATTCTGCTTTCATGCAACTTTTTGAGAAAGGAACCCACATCAGCCAGACAGTACCTTCAAACTCAGTATTTTTACCTTGTGTTTTACTCACATTACCAGAATGAGCTCATTGGTATTCAAATCCTAGATATACATTTGGCACTTCCCTCTTTGCTTTATCACTGACAAGGGGAATAAATATTGATACGAGAAGGACACTCAGAGAGCTCTACCGAGGCCAGCAGTCCACTCTTCGTTGATACGCGTTTTCACAAGCCAAACGAGATCTGCACTCAAATTTAATGGCTTCTTTCTTTGCTCGCGCTCCAACTCTCCACCAAGTTTCATGAGAATTGGCTGTAATTTTTGTGTAATCCTGCTAACAGACAAACAGTTGGGAAAACATAACCTCCTTGGCTGGGATAGTTATCAGTGCTGGATATGACAAGTGTGGTTACTCCAAAACATCACAAATCCAACATAAACACCTCAATGTCCAAACTCCTATCACACTGCTCCAAACAGAAACTCTGCCACTCTCACATTACCAAACAAATAAATCCTTCCCATAATGTAAGTGCAACACTATTTCTTCTCATGAGACACCTGTCACCAGGTAGCCAAGTAGTGCTGAAATTTACATTTTAAGACTGCTGGATTGCCAGGGAGGGCCTTTGGACTGTGGACTACATCACTTTCTCTAGAGCAGTGCTCTCCTGCTGCTGCTACTGAGCTGGTAAGGTTCTTATTGATTTTCTGGCAGATGCCTTTGGCACCAGCAGTAGCTTGCTAATATACTTGGCTTTCAGCAGCCCCCACAGAGCAGGACTCCTCATGAATCAAGCCCTCTGATAATAGAAAATGTTGACCTACTAATCTGTAATAAGCAGAGTGCTTCTATCCAAAGACAAGAAAATACACCTCATGCCTTTTCTCGTCTGACAAGTGGTGCATCAGCAAACCTTCCCTTTGACTGCAGGATGCAGTGGAGTGAGGTCTGGCGTGGGGCAGCCAGTGAGAGGGTGTGGCACAAACAGAGGGCAAAGATACTTGTAAATGTGAGAGAGAGAGAGAGAAAGCGAGAGGGAGACGAGGCAGTGCAATAACAGAACCAAACCTCTTCAGGGAGGTCCTCTCACTTCTTCTCTGAGAGAAAACCACAACAAGTATTAAAGTAGCTACTTGGATCCTTTTCAGGGAAACACTGCAGTTTGAGGGTGACTCCCTCAGAAATGCCACGAGAAACATCAAGTACACTCGATTCACTCAAAAGCAAATAAAGGAATACAGTATTCTGTATTTGGCAATAAATAAATACGACTGATTTCAGTGTTCACGCTGATGTAGGACTAATGTAAGAATGTCTCGAAGCAGCATCAAGGAGAAGCCCACTCAGTTTCAGCGTGGTTCGCTACCCTCTAAGAGCAGCTGGCATAAAAGAGCAGAGATGCAGCAGGTATATTGTGCTCAGTCTCTCCACAGCGTGACTATTTTTAACGCTGTCACTAGGTGCACCAGGGGGTGTCTCCCTCTTATTGTCGGACCAAAGGTTGTCTGGTCTACAGCTGAAACAATCTGGCACATAGATTCCCTTCATTTTCTCACAAGAGAATCGTCATGAGTAGTATGATTGTAAATTCCACGTTTCTCGAATTTAAAGGCATCAAAAGGTCTGAACCGCTGAAGCTCTTGTTCACAACTAGAAGTAACCGTTTAAATTAACAAACACAATTAGACTGAGATACAAATTAAACAAGCAACTGATTGGTAAAATCAATCCCAGTGTCTTTTATCTTCTCCATCATCGACAAGCAAATGTTCTCATGCGCGAATGCAATCTGCTTATCAGTCAGCTGGTTTATTGATATGCATCAATCACATTTGCATCTTTGGTTAAATCGCTGGCTAAAATAGAAGCAGAGTTATTATTGTGCCTCATTTTTGTTGCATCAAAATCAATAGCTGGAGTGTTTTGATTCGGTTTGTCAGATGCAAAAGTGACCATCAAGGCCAAGGTTGTTCAGTTTCCCTTTGTAGCTGGGGAACTGTCACTCTCTGAATTTGGAGTTAATAAATCCACACAGCAGCAGCTAAATACGTGTTGTTCATTATGAAATGTTTCCACAGAAAATGCTCAAAACTTCTAACACTTCCCACCGTGAGTCACGAGAGTCTTGGGTCTTATTGAGTCGTGACAGTTTTACGTTCTAATAAATACCTGGAACTCCCCACCAGTCGGTTAAAACTGAGGAAGCATCGTGGATGACAGCTGAAACGTCTTTAACAACAGAAAAGTTGCCTTCTACCGGAGCACTTAGGATGACTGAGAATCTACACAGACATTCGGCTTTAAATACACTCTCTGTATGTCACAGATAATGCATCTTTTTGTTTCCCTGCAGTATCTTATTATTAATAATTTTACCAGGGGATATTCCTGTCTTATTTCCTTTATTATTAAATCTTTTTCATATATGGCATTGCAAACTATACCGGTCCAAAAGGCCAGAAGTACCATAAACATTGCAGTTCCAGAAGATTCTTCATGTAGAGATTTGTGATAATACTGTCTTCAGTTTCTATTACATGAATAAATGTAAGACAGGACGAGACATTTAGCCCAATTTGGGGAATTATTGTCCTGAAACTGAAGATATTTAATGTGGTTAAGGAACTGATTCATGTAGAGATTTTTATTTAGCCCTTTTCACACAACGTTTTTTGGGTTTTTAAGTAATTGGACTGACACTCATGAAGTTAAAAAAGAAGAAAATAAAAGCCATATTTATTATCTCATAAGAAAGCCTTTGCACTCAGAGACTGCCTGAAGACTTTGACTCACAGATGTCATGCCTGCTTTGTATCATGCCGAGCTGTGCTTTCTCAGGCCTTCGCTGCAGCCACATTAAACTCGTGCTTGTTGTGCAGTTTGTATGTCTTCCGTTCGGTGCTCAGCAAGTAGAATGTCTACTCAGTGAGACTGAGATCAGGTGAGCAGTCGACCAGATATTCCACGTCTGCAGTCTAAAGAAAAAAAGCTCTTTGGGAGCTTGCTGAATGATTGGATCCTGCCCAGTGGGTTATAATGGCTGAAGGTGGATGCTCCTGCGTACCGCTGCATTCATCACGTTGCTTCCATTAGCAGTGAGATCATCAGTTTGCTGCTTCACATTGTAGCCATACATGCCCACGCCATTACAGAATCACATCAACGTTTGACAGATGAGGGTCTATGCGTTTGCTCTGTTTCCTTCTCTCTCCATATTGTTCCAGCAACTTTCCTTTTTCCTTTCATCAGTTTATAAAATCTGTTCCACCACAGGGTCTTAGTGGCGACTATCCTGAGGTTTTGGTCCTGAAATCTCTTGATTGGTAGCAAAGAAGCATGCATGCCCCCCATGTAGGGCAGCGTTCTTGACCTGCTGTGCAGTCATAACGGGGTTTTCTTTGCCACACAGATATTTGTTTTCCAGGTCAGTTGCCGTGTTGTAGTTCTCTCATGTGCACCTGTGCTTTCAGACTTCGCTCAATTGCCAATTTTGTAAAATTAGCTTCTTTTGATATTTCTTTTTTGCTTTTATGACTCATTATTTTCTCTATTGTCACATCTTTACACCTAATATTGACAGACAACTCTACCTCAACCTCAAAAGCAGCTTTCAACTTGCATGTGTGAGCTCTTTTGTGCATAAATTAATATTAAAATCACACACAGAAACATTCTAAAACATTTAGTAGTCAGGCACCCAGCTAATTTGAAGCTTTATAATTTAGGAACTATGCATTTAGGGGCTGTATCTCACATTCAGCTCGTACTATATTGATGTAAATCTACTGAAATTAAAGTTGAATCTTGGTGTTTTAGCATCATAATCTAAAATAGTCGCGCTGAAAAATTTAAAAAATGTTGGAGCTTTGTACCAGAAAAGCTGACAAAAAACCTTTTTTTTCTAAATCCAAGGATAGAGTCACCTGATAACATTGAAAAATACTGATGAATTATCATTCACGCTGTCTCGTCTGTCACACACAAAGCTTTAGCTGGCGAAGCACGACACACGTGTGCCCTACTTATCAGACAACAGTCACTCCCGGGCTTTTGATGGCATCAGCTGAAGCAGAACAGGCAAAAGGAAAAATGGATATACTTGCTGCGAGCACTCACTTTGCCCAAAGCCGTCTCCTATTCTTTTAAACCTTACAAGTCCTTTTCATATTTTAAAAGCGGGCATTTCTGTCCTCCTGCTGGAAAAAGCCTCAGCTTTCTTGGATAAAGCAGGTCATGGGACAGCAGTAAGTATGACAGCACATCCAATCCAGTTGAGCCGAGGCCAGGCTATTTCTGTTTTCCTCACCAATTAAGAGCAATGAATCTATGTTGTACACCCAGCAGCAGCCATTTACGCTTTATCCCTCCTCCCCATCCGACCTCTACCCTTAAGCTTCCCCCCCCTCCTCCTCCTCTCTGGTGTCAACAAAAAATATAAGAAGTGTCAATTACATAAAAGGCACATCTCTTTCAGCGTCATTTCCCCTATAATAAGGTGCCAAGTGCACTGAGCGTTTGGTAATCTATTTCTGGGACACTAAACTAAAGAAGGGAGGAAAAAAAATAATGCTCACAGTCTCTACAGAGATTAGTTTGTTGCTTACTGGCAGCCTGCAAGAACATTATTCCAATACTGTCAGCTAAAAATACAGCCAGAGAGTAAGTCACATTATTTCCTTTAATGTATCTGTTCCATATTTAAGTGTTGACAAAAATTCCTTACTGTAAGGCAGTACCTGTTGAACAAACCCCACAGGAGAGTTTGAGCTGTTCAGACAAAAAGTTAAACAAACAAAAGAAACCCACAGTGACGTGTGGAGGGAAGCCCTAATGCATACTGTAGGACCTGCATGTGTGTGTGTACATTGCAATGCAGGTACACGTGTGTGTTATTTCCACCCACATGAAAGGAAGGAGGGGTTGTTAAATTACATGCAGCCACTGATCTGTGAGACAGCAGATGGCCAGAAAAGAAATGTCTGCCGTTCTAATGTTCTGCACCGTGTTGTGTTGGACTTAATCCGTTTCACCTCGACTTATTGGCATATCACAGGGCTTTGCCATCTCAAATCTCTCACGGGGATGGAGATTCCCCAGCCCCTGGTCTCCCATGGCAAGCAGATCCCATCTCACTAATGCTGTTGCACAACCCTCAATCACTTTAATACATTTTCAGTGCTGCTGGTCTGCTGATGCACTCTTCTCATGAGCCGTTATGTAATAACTCCGGCCTCACCGGTGGAGAGATAGCCACAACATGCCGCGTAGCCTGTGTTTTGCTGTGTTGTTTCTGCTTGAGATCTCTCTAAGTGTCTCATTAATTCAAAGTCTGAGGTCGATTGATTTAAATGCACGCAGACAACTGTTCAAAGTCAAAGTCTAAAAAACAAATTTAAGGAAGCTGTCCTCGTATTTTATCTGGCGCGGCACCTTCATCTGGTATGCCACCGCGCTTGTAATTCACATTCCTTTTCAAGAAAATCAAACAACAGAGCAAAATTCAGCCTCCCGTGTGCTCTATTTTCAATAGGAATAAAAGGCTTTGTGACAGTCAGCCTCCGAGTTTTTCTCCCTTTACGCAGCAGAAAAATATTCCACAGAGTAAAAAGACAAAACAGCACAAAAAAATTGATTGTGCAGTTTCCACACTGCAACCCAAACGACGGTGTGCTCGGCTGCACAAGAATTCACAACAAACGGCAAAGGTAATAGCAAGTATCGTAACTAAGTAGACGAAGAACTATAAATATTCATGATCTTGAATACCAGTCATTCATATATTCCGATGCCCACGTGGTAAGGGCAGACAGAGAGAAGTCCTGTATTACATATTACAGAACAAACCATATTACTTTTGACAGATGCCAGCAGCATTGTCACTGAATATGTTCACATTTCTCAAAGTGAGGACGACATTCATGTTAAACAAAAGCAGCGAGGAGCATATTAGATATCTGTCACTACAAAACATAAAGTTCTTAATGATAAGTTTTCTCCATTGTCCATAATTCCATATCTCCAACCTACAATACCTCTATTGGTATTACTGACATTGTTTCTTACTGCCATGTGTATGTGATTACAGTGCCAGCTATGCGACATATGATTTATGTCCACTGGAAGTTTCACAAAACGTAATTTCTGAATGTTGTTAAAACATGCATGAGAATGAAGCGCCCTGCTTCTCTGTCTGCACCGAGCGCCCCGACTCCTGTTTGGCTGCCTGAGCTGAATACTAAAAACCGGTGGACTCGTCACAGCAACACAAACAACACCCGTCATAATAATCGCTCTTGTCAGTTGAACACGAGCCAGCTCAATTTACAAAATAGCAGATTTCGAGCAGGGAATCGTAAAAGAGAAATTTCAAGACTAAACTTCAAGAAATTAAATGTATTGCACTCACCGCTGCTGTATGAGGCATGGGGTTAAATCCACAAAGATTGCACACAGTGTTCTTGCATTCAGTGCAGGTGTTGTAATTGGGAGGATCCTTGGAGCCCACGTTGAGTTTGACCTTACACAGCGGACAGGTGGACGGGCTTGCTTTAGGAGCGACTTTGGTCACCTCCGTGGCTTTTGGAGGCTCAGGCGGAGCTTTCTCTGCTTTAACCGGTGCTGCTGCTGGGATAGTCTTGGCCTGCTGAGGTGGCTCTGATTTCTGTACGGCAGGTGGTTTGGTATCCTTTGCAGGGGGCATCTTGGGAGAAACTGGAGGTGTAGCTTTAGGGCTGACACTGGCTGCGGTGGACATCTTACGTGGAGTTGGAGGTGTTGTAGATTCATCCTGGACAGCTGAGGTTATCAAAGTGGATGCAGAGTTTAAGAAGGATGACCCAAAGCCAAACATCTTTCCTGTTACTGAGTCTGCAGACTTTGCAGCAGTCGGTGGTGTTTTAGGGGCACCAAAGCCAAAGAAGCCTCCCGACTCCTGTTTTGCAGGCTGAGCTGGTGGGGGTGCAGCTTTGGCAGGAGGGGTCACAGATTTTGGGGGCTGTTGTGGTAGTTTGCCAGCGTCTTGTTTTGCAGGAGCTGGTTTTACTTCTGGTTTGGAAGTTTGTGGAGGTTTTTCTACCAGTTTCTGCTGGCCAGCCTTATCCTGGGCTTGTCCTTGCTGAGTACCTGAAATCTCTTTCGGCTTTTGCACAGTATCTTGCCGCGGTGCGTCTATCTTTTGGACTGCAGTTGGCACTGGGGCCTCAGCCTTGGGGATTTCTTTTTTGGGTAATGCTGTTTGAGCGGCCTCTTTTTGGACTTCTGTATGTTCCGTAGGCTTTTCCTTCTGAACTAATACCGGCACCTCCTTCTGAGGTGCAGAAACCTTGCTTGGCGAAGGCTGTGGTTTCACTACAGCAGGTCCAGTGGGCTCAGATGCTGCTAAGGCTCTCTGCATCTGGCAGTTTAGACAAAGCCATTCTTTTACCTGAAACAAGAGCGATGGAATGCATAAATCATTATTGGGAAAACCCAAAAGCCATTACAATAAATATATTTTGTAGATAATTGGAAACAGTTTGTCTAACCAGTGGTTAAAATGTATTTGATAATTATTACAATATCCTAATATACTGATCGTTAAACAGTAGCAAATGTCATATGAACTGCCAGGACATTAAACAATAATAAATCTGTAAAATGCAGAAATTCCACTCAAGGCAAATTAAAGCAAAAGTAACAGTTGTGTAATTTACCTCTGACACATTTGGCATTGGGTTAAATCCACACTGGTTGCAGACGGTGGTCTTGCATTCTGTGCAGGTGTTGTAGTTGGGAGGATCTGGGGTACCCACGCTGAGTTTGACTTTACACAGCGGACAGGTGGACTGATCTGCCTTTGAAGCACCTTGGGTATCGGGTGGTGCCTTGGGGAGCTCTGATGGACCTTTGTCCACTTTGGTTTGTACTGCTGAAGGAGTCTTATCCTGCTGTGGTTTCTCTGGTTTCTTCTCTTCAGTTTTCTGGACGGCAGGTGGCTTGGTGTCCTTTGGAGGTACTGTTTTAGGAGAGGCCGGCGGTGTAGTTTTAGGAGTGACACTGGCTGCAGCGGACATCTTACGTGGAGTTGGAGGTGTTGTAGATTCATCCTGGACAGCTGAGGTTATCAAAGTGGATGCAGAG